TCCCTCTTAATACTTGGAGTCGAATTCTAATGGTTTTCTCAATTCCTCAATGTGAACTCCGGAGAATACTCCATGCCTCTTTAGAGGTTGTTGCGGCTGAAATCCTTTCAAACCTTGACTCATCAATGCCTTAATAGAGTAGATACAAGGTTTATTTATTTATTTATTATTATTATTATCTTTCTTCCTTGAATCTTCTAACGCCATCTTTTGAGTTTGTATTCAAATTGGAATTGAAATACAATGCAGTTAGTATGATGCGCCGAGCCCGGTGCATGCAATACAGATGAATGATGCAAACATGCATAGCATAAGGATGCTAAATGAAATATGCCCTAGAGCTAACCATCGTAAGCGGTTAAGTAAAAGGGAGAAAGAAATGGGGGTTGGAAGACATGCATCACACACACGCACACTTATTACATAATTGCGCCTTCTCGACGGAGGGTCCGAAAGAATAATACAAATCATCTAATTAACTAACTAACAAGCTAATTAATTATTACACAACCCTTAACTAATTAAACAAATTAATTAAGCTGTGAAAACAGTAAAACAGCCTCGGGAAGAGGGACCAATGCATGCTCGGTCGGCTTCGCTTGGAAATCCGTCGCCATGCCACATGTTGCCTCTGTTTGCACTACTTTGCACCTCTGAAAACTGCAAAAGTCTCAAGGATGCTTCTGAACCACTCCCTGAGTGTTGTGGGAGGTCATCGACCAAAAGATAGGGTCATCGGCCAAGGAAAACTGGTCATCGACCAAATATAAGTCTCTCGGCCAAGTGTTTGTTGCCGATCGGCACTGAATGTGGTCGATCGACCATATCTTCCTGTGAAAAGCTCCTATTGCTGCAGCAGAGGACAAACAGAGCATGGCAATACATTTACAAGACAATGTATGCACAACCACCCTCCCTATCATGTCATGAGCTCAAGGGAGTATAGTTCTCGACCCTCGGGCCACCAATCACGTATTTCAATGCATGATGGCCAAAGGAGCCAAATGTGCAATTCAATATCAAATGAAATGCACAAAAACACAGGGGGGCCCAACCTCTATCATGCTTGATCAAGAAGCAAGGGACGCACACACAATGCAATGCAAACATGCATGCAGGATGCAAGCAACTCAAGCATGCAACAAGTACGCAACAAGATCATGCAATGCACCTAATATTCGATAGGCATACAACGTAAGTATGCAAACATGTGAAGATACATGGCATGCAACAACATGCAAAAAAAAGCAAGCATGCAACAACATGCAAGACAAGCATGCAACAACATGCAAAGATGGACTTAAACTAAAGTAGACAGCTCTTAAACATGCCCAAATCAGTGGCCAAAGTCATGAATTAGAAGCATGAAAATGCAAAGCAAATATGCACATGTAAATGGTCCAACACCTAGGCATTGGAGGGAAACTTTCAAGAGCATTTAAAAGAGGACAAACATGGACATGTGACATACATTCTAATCTCTGAAATCATGTTAGGAAAGGTGTCAAACCAACCAAACAAAACAAGCAAATCATGCAAGAAAGCTCAAGGCTTAAGGCTAGCCAAGGGGTTCAAACCAAGGCTATATGAAACATGATGTAAATGGCCAAAGTGAACCAAAACAGTCCTAAAGCATGCCAAAATAAGCCTAGAACATGCAATGAATGAGACCAAAACATGCTAGAATAAAGGACCGAAAGCATGAGACATGCAAAGCTACAAAAGAGGTGTTACGCTACACCTATCAAAACCAAACATGGCATGATTTAAGTAACCAAAATCAGAGTTATGGCATGTTAGAACAAGACCAAAAACACATTGAAATGGCATCCTAGAGGCCTAAACATGGAGGCATAACCAATGGTCCATTCATGAGACATAAGACATCAAATCTTTAAAACATTAAAGGAGTGATAAGTGCAAGTATATGAGCATACTATATGGACTGAAATAACATAACAAGTGATGCCAAGTCACTGAAATGACCCAAGTAAAGCATGCTAGTGACTTGGACACTCAAAGCTAACAAGTTAGATTACATGGTAACTATACAAAACAATGCAAGCATGACTAAGACAAGGAAAAACAGAGCTCTAGCATGGTAAAACAAGGCTAAAAGCTTCATGGAGTTGAGTCAAAATCATACTAAAATGACATGTTACAACATGATGCATGTTGAGGCAAACAAGAGGATTGCAAGACAAGTATATGAAGCATATAAGAGGCCATCAAATCAACTTGAAACATAGGTATATTATGGCAAAAAAAAGCCTAATACACACTGAAATGAAGCTAAAACAAGCTAAGCATACAGGCCACCAACATAAGCCATTTATGCAAGCATTCAAGACAACAAGGAGAGGGGATGATCCTCTCCTATTTAAGACCTCAAAACCACCTTTCCACCACTGAAAATTCTCTAGATTTCAGTGGTAGAAAGGTCACGCAAGGCTAAGAACAAAGGCCAAAAGGAATGGCCTAAAACAAGACCTAACAAGGCCTTGGAGGGGGTAAACAATCCCAAACCAAGAAGAGACCTTAAACAAAGGTCTAAAGCAAGTAAAAATAGAACTTTTATCAATTAATAGCTAAGCTTAAAACAATAAGCAAGAAGGGCTAAAAGCTTAAGCAAGAATGGGGTATTAAAAGCAAGTTTGCTCACCCTTGAAGAACACCTCCAAGAACACAACACCAGTAGGTTTCTCTGATCAAAATCACCTCAAGAATCCTAACACCAACTCCTTAGTACCTCAGCAACCAAGGATGGTGTTCTACTAGGTGCTCTAGTGCAAAAGTAAGAACAAACAACCTTTAAGGCACAAACACACACACAAACATGTGAAGAGAGGGAGATATAGAGATAGATAGATACAACTCTCTAATCCTAAATTTTCAGAACCTCTGAGAAGGGAGGAGGAGCTCCCTTATTATAAAATTCAAAATTCTAAGCTTCCTAAGCAAGCTAAGGCAAGGGACAAATCCCTCCATACACGTGTATGGGGGGGGTGAATTGTAGATGCCAGATGTGCCAGCTGGCATAAAATATCTATATAAAGCAGATGAACAGGGTTCGGCCAGAAAACATGGCCGATCGACCAACACAAGGGCCGACCAACCAAAAATAGTGCCAATCGGCTAACACTTTTGGCCGATGGAAAGAAAACAAGGCCGATGGCTTCAAGCCTTGGCCAGTGGGTTGAGGTAATAGCCAACAAGCCACCCTCTTCCCTCAGAAGCAAAAACACAAGTGCTTGGTCCACAACCAAGCACAAAACAGACAAGTTGAGAGATTTTGAGGCAAGACGCGCGGCTGAGACCTCTGAGAACTCAAAACGAACACGAGCATGGATAATCATCGAGTGTTCAAACGATGACGTCCAAGTCTTGAGAACGGTCAAAAATGGGGTGTCTACATCCCCATTGCTCTTATTCGTTCTTTCTGAACGTCAACTTTGACTGAAGAGCTTGCTCTAGGAAACTTGCGAAAATTCTTTTGTTTATCCCCTACTCGTGGATCTCCAACGTGGCCATCAACTTATCCACGACCATGGTGATAAGGTCCTTTGATTCCTTAACTGCAACAACTACGTGTTCAAACTTCGAACTTGGGATCAAATTATCTTTTCTATCACTCGAACATCATCCATCTTGTCTCCACATCTTCTGATTTGTTCGCAATGGTCAAAGTCTTTGTAAAGTACTCAGAAGTTGATTCATTCGTCCTCCATTTGCAATAATTAGAAGTCCCTCTTAATACTCGGAGTCGAATTCTAATGGTTTTCTCAATTCCTCAATGTGAACTCCGTAGAATACTCCATGCCTCTTTAAAGGTTGTTGTGGCTGAAATCCTTTCAAACCTTGACTCATCAATGCCTTGATAGAGTAGATACAAGGTTTATTTATTTATTTATTATTATTATTATATTTCTTCCTTGAATCTTCTAACGCCATCTTTTGAGTTTCGTTTAACTTTCCTTCATCTTCAGCAGTGGCCAACTCGTCATATCCTTGATCTACTAATTCCCACAAATCTTGTGAGACTCGTATAACTTGCATCTGAATGCTTCAATTTTCATAGTTCTCTTCGCTTAATTTTGGAAACTGGGGCAACAAATAATTGTTCATGTTGGCTATCAGTTGATCTTTGTGCTTCAAATGAGCTACACACAATTGTCAAGTTTGAATTTAGAGAAACAGACCTCATGAATGAGTCCGGAATGATCAAAATAGCTGGAAACGACTATTGGATTGTTAAAATTGGACTCTAGATGGCTTAGATCAAACCAAAATAATTCGTATAGAGTTCAGATCTATTGGATTTGTGAAGTACTAAATAATTTCTCTTGATTGACTGAAATTACTAGTCTTAACGAGAAGACGTGTGTACTGCGCATGTTGACTATGTTTTGAGCTTTAACTGGAAGGTGTGGTTCACCCGATATCCGTTTGAGCTTATTTTTGCGTTGTTGAACTTGTATTGTGGAGAAACACCTCCTAGTATACCAAACAATACATTTTGAGCAACTTGATTTCTGGACAGATTTGAAAAACTCAACGATTCTGCTCAGCTATGGCTCAATTTGGCTTTGATACCACTGTTGATGAGAGTGGGGTATGAAACCACTTATGATGGTTTACAAACAAACACAAAAGAAAGAATTTATAATTTGAAAAACAGATTTATTTCACTCAAATAATTTAGAACACAAACAAGGAGTGAGGAAATTATCTTTCTATTTGAAACACTCATACTCTCTAGCTCTCTTATTCTTCTACTCAACTCCCACACTTAAAACACTTAACTACAAAACCTATTTATAGATAAAACTCATAATATAAAAGCATTAAATGAAATTACAACAATTTTATTCAAACTAAAACTCTTCAATCTTCGAACCAGCAGCCATCTGGAACCCATATCTTCAGCTTCCACTCTTCCTACTCCTAGCTAGGCTGGTTCAATCAGGCATACTCACAACAGGGTGTAGTAGTTCATGGAATCACAGCAACTTTACAAGAGCCAACCTTAGGTTTTTCACAAGATCCTTCGCTGTCATGTTAAATCCATTGTCCATCTGTGCCAAAAATCGAGATTAATGAATAATAATTTTTCACCTACTAAAATTACAAATTTATTTGCATGAGAAACAAATAAAAAATCTCTAGTTAAGTGAAAAAAACCTCTCTTTTTTTAAAATTTTTAATTTTAAACTTTATTTTCCCCTATCTTTTCATTTCTTATTATTACAAATCAAAATTCTAACTGAAAATTGAGCGCAGGTCACAAAATTCTATTTTGTGGATTTAGGTTCTCTCTATTTCACGATCAATAATTGTCAAAGATTCACATAAAAATTCTATATTTTAAATTTAAAAACAATTCAGAAAAATTATAAAACTTATAAAATGTGACAAATATAAATTATTAATTTTAAATTTTAATTAATGATGAAAATACCTGAGCGATAATAGTCATATCAATAGCGGCATTGCCAAATGGAACAGCAATGCTATTGGTGACATTCAGATGAAGTGTTTGCATTTCGCTTAATATTTTTGCCGGTATATCAGTACGATGACGTTTCTCACAGTGAATTCTAATGAGCACATTATTTTCAGAAAGTCTTGCTTCAATTTCAGGAGATAATTGCTTCAACTTTTCATCAAAGTTATCTTCAGATGAAACATCATCATCGTCGTTAGAAGATTGAAATCTCTTCACAGGAAATGCAGTTGGCTCTACCAGTTTTCTCTTGCACACTTTCTCCAAAGTTCTCTCACGCTCTTGAAGTTGCTTTATGTACTTAACAGTACCTTCCAGAATTGAAGCCTTGTCCATCTGTGTTTCATATTGATGAACATTAAAAACAATATATTTACTATTCTTGATCTAAAAATAAGAAAAGGATCATCAGGCTGCCATGAATCTCATTTTAATGATTTGAGCTGTCTATTTTGCAAATTCTTGTGTAACAACGTTGCAATTAATGACCAAATTTCATTTATCATCTCATATTTTATAATTGTACGAGTTAAATACGTCATCACATTCATAATTATTACTAATGCAATGAAAACACATCTATGATAAACTAAATATGATATAAAAATGTATTATTGTGTATAGATCATTTAAAAAAGAATTGATCTGATAACCATAATTGCATGATAGCATATTTGTTTTCAAAATAATAGATAACTAATATGATTTTAAAAATAGTTTATCGAAGTTTTTTGCAAACAAATATAATAAAATTATGTAATTTTTTACATTATTCATCTATATACAACCTTTTACAAAATATTTGAATTTTTTTTAGTCGATCAAAATAATTGATTCAGAGATCATGGGTCAGTATATAGTAAAGAGCCCAATAGAAAAATTTTAAATACACATAATCTAATAATAGAATTGGACACAATTATATGAAATGGGTCTATTGAATATGCAGATTCCATATTACATGAAATGGGTCTATTGAATATGCAGATTCCATTTCCTATGAGAAAATAGTATCTAATTATGTGCACGTAAAATAATTATTGATCAGTACCCTGGCTAGGCCTGGAATGAGGGCGCAGAGAGAGATGATCATCTGGCTTAGTCTTTCGCGACGCTTTCTCTCTGCCAAAATGTGATTTCGGGCATGCAACGATCCCCTAGTTCGGCCTCCAACCCTTTTGTTTCTTTTCCTAGTTTCCGATGCATTATTTTGGTTCTCTTCCGAACTCTGTCCAGAATTCAGTGGCGACGACAAGTTCATGTTTTCTTGAGACATCAATTCATCGTCGTTAGGCTTCCCAATACAGTATGTATTTGCACCATTGAGTTGCTCTGGCTGGGTCGATGGTGAGCCCAACTGCTTCAACGAAATATCATTATCGTTGAAAGTGGACGAGTCAACGAGTGCCATATTGTGATTGGTGTCAGTCCTGACATTTTCGGCTACGATTTGTTCGGAAGTTTCAATGGGTATGCTCTCATTATTGATAGAGGTGTAAGAAGAGTACACTTCTGGGAATAGACACTTGAAAAAAAATTCATCAAGTGACTCATCGACGGCCGAATTCATCTGAATTGAGAAGGATAAATTTGGAATAAAAATATCATTTCGGAGAATTAAACTTTTTAAAAAAAGGTTATTAAAAACAAAATTAATTAACTGTCCATTTAAAATTTGGTAGATTTAGATAGTAAATTTGAGAGTAAAATAAAACTTATTAACAAACTTTACCAGTTTATGTAGCCATTCACTTGATGCCAACGCATCCATTGTTTAATCGTATTTAAACAGCTTATTCTAGAAGAAGTCACTAAAATGTCACAAATGAAAAAGTCTGTTTGTAGGGTCATTATAACAAAAATTATATCATGCTAATGTAGTGTGTCTAACTAATAAAATTTAAAAACAAAAAAGAAAAATTGTAGTGTTTTTTTTTAATCAATAACACATTGGCGAAATTGCTAAAATTTCTTCATGTATTGTGGCTTTTTTTTTTCTTCTCCATATCTATTTAGGATTAAGCTATTTTAGTTGGTTTTTAACTATTTATAATAATAATAAATAAATAAAAAATACGTATAAAAAAAGTAGAGAGAATGATATGATTAGGTGTCTTATCTTTTTTACTATTTTAGCCAAAAAAGTTCACCCCCAAACAGAAGCAAAGCTAGGATTGTAAAAGTGGGGGACTAAACGAAAATGAATAGGATAGATTCTGTAATATAGAAAATCTAATCAGATCGGTTCTAATAAAATTTTGAATTACTCAAATAAAAATAATTAAAAACAACTTAAAATTTATTACTTATTTTATAATTTGTGTGTATACAAATTATTATCTTATAAATTTATTAAGATATTGAGCAAGTGAAGCATTACAATTTTGAAAACAGCATAGTGGTTAAAATAGTTTAATTACTTGGCATTTATACATTAGTTTTAATTTACGAACTTATACTCCATTAGGTCTCATTTGACAACATTACTTTTTAGCCTAAAAGTCAAAAAGTCACTAAAAAACCAAAAAATCAATAACTTATATCAAAAATTCAAAGATTTTCTACAAACAAATTTTCAAGAGTAACTTATATCAAAATACCGATTTTCTCTCTACTTTTTACACATCATTTCATAAAAAATCAAAAAGTCATCCCAAACATACTAGTTTTTTTTACATCATATTTAGCCAAAAAGCTAAAAAATTACTAAAAAAACTTATTCCCAAACGATGCCATAATTAAGATTTTTTGGACTTTCAAGTCCCATTAAATTTTTAGTAGTCGAAATTGCCCTTCAAACAATGATTGTTCATCATTTATGAGATTATTTGTAAAAAAAGATGATGATTTGACATTTATTTTGATTTTCAAAACTTTAAAACATTAACTTTCAATTGAAAAAACTAAAAAAACTAAATAAATAATTATGTGAAAAAAAAATTGTTTTTTTTTTTTGAAAAAACTGAATTATTTTTTTGTGCAAAATTGAAATTTGTGTTTATAAAAGAGCACGGTGATGGAATATTGATGTGTAAAAATTTTATAAAAAAAAAAATTTAATGAAAAAACTAATAATGTTCTCAGTTTTAAAACTGGAAAAATTGATAATCTTCTCAGTTTTATTAGATAGTTGAATCAAACCAATAAGTAGAAGAGAAAAAACGTTTAATCTCATACTCTGTTTTTTTATTAGTTGGTGAAACAATTATCTGAAACATTACTATGCAAAATTGATAATGGCTTAAAAAAAAAATTATTATGCCAAACTTATATATATATATACTTTCTGAGGGCCATAACCCCCTGACCCCCCTTCCCCTCACTCTGCCTTGACCAAACGTAAAGGTTGTTCCCATTGGTCAAGCACACTATTCACGTGATATGCCAGACTCATAGAATAACTTCTCCTCACTATAGAGTCCCAATCTATATAATAAGGGAGGAAGCTTTTTGAAAATGTATAAAAATGTATGTGAGATACATTTTGATCCAATGGTTGAGATGAATCTTAGATATATATCAATGATTCAAATCAATCCTCTCAAATATTAGTTCCCGGCCAAAAACTCTTCTCTCTCCCATGTCTCTGAAAGGTCGCCAACCTACCCCCCTCTATCTCTCTCTCTCCCTCTCTCCTCATCCTTGATTTTAAACTCTGTTCATCATACTGTCACACAAACCTTCTCCATCTCTCTGTCCAGCTCGCTCGTTTCGGTTCTGGACTGAAAAGTTTTGGTTGTGTAACCTCCAGTAAATGGGTTTCTAACTCTGTTTCTATCTCCAGCAAAGTTTTGATTTCTCTTGAATATATTATTTCTCTTGAATATGAAATGGGTTTTGATTTCTAATATATTATTTCTTTTGATTTCTATCTCCAGCAAATGGGTTTTGATCTCTTGAATATTATTTCTCTTTGTGTAACCTCCAGCAAAGGTTTTTGTGGATTGCCCATTGGGTTTAACCTCCAGCATTTGAAATGTTTTTGTGGATTCAAACATTGGGTTTAATTTGAAATGTTTAATCATATATAATTAATTTCAAACATTGTGTTTTTATGGAGGTTTTTGTGTAACAAAGCACTGTGTGTTGCAACAAATTAATTAGTTTTGGTTTAACCCAATGTTTAACCTCCAGCAAATTATATATAAATCAAAACCATGCTGTCTTTTGTTGCTTTGTAATTGATTTTTGTAAATTGAGTCGTCTTTTGTTGCTTTATAATTAATTTTTGTGGATTTGATGGGTAGTTTGATCCTGTTATCAATTTTTTGTACTCTTTCATGAGTGAATCTTGAGCAGCATTAAGTTTTGCTTATTTCTTGAAGGTTGCCCAATTGCTTGGTTTGCATGAAGCATCTGTTCTGCCTAAAAAAAGCAATTCAGGTGTGTATTTTTATTTATTTTTTTATTTTGCTAATTATGATATATATAATTTGCTTATTCGTATATGTGTATATATGATTCCAATATGTATGTTTAATTTGAAATGGTTAATTTGAAATGTTTGCACACACTCTCTGTAATCTGATGTTTGAAACATTGGGCAAACATTTCAAACATTACCAGAACTTCAAATCTTGAGTCTAAGATCCAACGGGATATTAGGTCCTTTCCCTTCTGATTTTTCCAAACTTGGAAACTTGACTGGCCTCTTTCTTCAATTCAATAATTTCTTTGGCCCTTTGCCTTCGGATTTCTCGGCTTGGAAAATTCTCTCAATCATCAATTTATCCAACAATGGTTTCACTGGTAGTATCCCTTCTTCAATTGCAAATTTAACTCACCTCAGACCAACTCGCTTTCTGGTGAACTCCCCGACTTGAATCTCCCTAGCTTGCAAGTGGTCGATCTATCCAACAATAATCTCACCGGTACTGTACCTCGATCTCTTCAAAGATTTCCAAGTTAGGCATTCTTAGGTAACAATCTTTCTGCTAGAAATTCATCCCCTCCTGCACTTCCACCCAATGCTCAACCATCAAAGAAATCAACAAAACTTAGTGAACCTGCAATACTGGGAATCATAATTGGCGTTGCGCTCTGGGATTTGTGGTACTTGTTTTCCTGATGATTGTCTACCGCTCAAAGAAAGACGGTGAAAAAGGGGTCTCAGCCAAATCACAGAAGAAAGAAGTGTCTGCAAAGAAAGCAATTTCCGGGAGTCGAGATGGGAATGGAAAGCTTGATTATTATATATACACATACATTTCAAATTGGAATCATATATAATTTGAAATGTTTGAAATGTTTGCCCAATGCTTGATTTTTCACATGGTTTTAATTTATGAAATGAGTTTGATTATTATATATATAATTTTGAACACACACCCTCTGTAATCTGATGGCTCTGTTAATTTGGTCCACTGTGACTCTTTATTGAAACATCCATTATTCATCTTCTTTATGTATTCTTTATGTAAAAAATTGTGCATATCTGTTAACCTTAAGTTGTGTCCGTATTAATTTTGGTAAAGTTTCTTTTGAATCTGTTAAACCCATGTTCTATTTTATTTTTTTAGTGCAAACCCATGTTCTAATTTTGGTTTGATGAGAATGTTTCTGTTTTCTGTTATTGCTCACTTTTTCAAATTTTGTAAAAGTTAAACCCATGTTTTCAAATTGCTCACTTTTGTGAAAGTTAAACCCATGTTTTAAATTTTGTGAAAGTTAAACCCATTTTGTGAAGTTGTGTTCGTATTGCTCACTTTTTCAAATTTTGTTCTAATTCTTGATGCTATCAATAGGATATTCTTGGTTTAAAATTATATTTAAGCTTGCCAATCTCAAATCGATTAACTGAAAGAGCTGTACAATCATGATATTTCTATGTCTATCTCTGTATTTATTTATTTCTATGTCATATGAACTTATGAAGGTTAAGTTGCATTTGTTGCATGCTAATTCTTATTTGGGCATAATCTGATCTCCACCGTCGCATCGCGTCGCCTCCGATCTCAACCCACTACGGCACCTCCGTCTTCCATCGCAGAGAAACTGTAAATCATCTATACCCATTTTTTATTTTTATATTTTTTGAATAAGGGAGAACAGTTTTTTTTTTCTTCTTCTTCCATTAATTTATTATTAGGTTGGATGCTCTGTATTACTTTGGACAAATATTTGAACAAAATTTAAATATTGGATGCTCTGTATTACTTTGGACAAATATTGGGTTTGCTCACTCTGTATTATTCACTAAAACTGGCTTTTATTATTATTTTAATAATATTGGGTTCTTTTTTATTTTTAATTTTACATTTTGTTTGAATGGCTGAGATTTTTTTATTTTTTATTTTTTGAATACGGGAGAACGGTTTTTTTTTTTTTTAATTTATTTGCATTGGCTTTACATGGATTATTCTTAGTTATATCACTTGGTTGCATCATGACTTTCAAAGTTGATAAAAAAAAATTTCTTTGGTTTCCATGTCAGAGAATTTCCTGTTCGATTGGAGAACCCTCATGTTATATCAGCAAATCAGATATGGGCTAGAGTTGTACCAGCTAGTCCATCTGGTTACTCTTTCAACTCTTCATATCGGAGTCGTGATTCCATAGAATACAAGCTGGAGCTTGGTAATGCTATTGGTATGTAATTAGGTACTGATAATGATGGTTTTAGGTGTTGGGTATCACAAGTACTATCAGTGGGTCAATGATTTGCATACCATGCACAATGATAGTTACAGGGGGTGATAAATTCTTTTACCCCCCTTGGTTTAGCAAGAATGTGAGCTTTTTTAGATCTGAACCTGTTGAGCTTTTTTAGATCTGATCCTGTTTTCCTGACAGAGGGAAATTTGGACTTTTCAGTGCACTTGATGAAGATGTCATTAACATTCTTAGCTAGGAAAATTGCAAATGAACCTTTGATTAAATTAGTCTTCTATTTGATATTAGTAGCCTCATTGCCATAATAACTACTTCATAATTTATTTGTTCCTTAAATTTGATGCTGCAGTCAATTTTGCATTATTTAACAAATTATTTTGTATAAGCATTATTTGACAATTTTCCATTTTCCATTATTTTACAGTCAATTTTTCATTTTTATAAGCATTATTTGAATTTTCCTGTTTAAGTCATTTTATATTTGAATTTTATATTTTATATTTTCCCTTATTATATAAATTCAAAAACCCTTTTCACTTACTTGACAATATGTTAAACACGTTTTTTTATTTTATTTTACTGTCTTTGTTGAATTTTCTTTCTTTTGGGTCAAAAAATAAGTTTTTGTTAAAGTTTTCATTGCCTAAGTTTCAATACATTTGCATAAGTTTTTTTTTAAATGACCTTATCTTTTTTTTTTTTCTTTCTTTTTGGGCCCATGATTTTATTATTGGTATTTATTGCAAAGGTGCAATTTTTTAATGGGCCTATTTTGAATGAAGTTACTTTCCATACATTTTGGTGATTTTTTTTATTATAGAGCCAATGCAAATAATGCTTATTTTGAATTTTGTCTAGGAACATTTTGTTTTGCTCTGAAGTCTATTGTGTAGTGTTCTGCTTTGCTTAATTTGATGGAAGGGCTGTGATGGTAAGATAGTGGCAAATGGTTGTGTTCAAGAAATACTGTATAAAGTTCTGACACAGTTGATTCTTATGCTATGACTGAGAAGAATATACAAATGAAGCATTTTTTTGTACATGGTGCAGCTCATTTTTTGAATAGGAATGCAAAAAAAATATGTGAAAGATAGACCCCGCAAAGGACTGATGGCTACTTCTTCCTATCGACAAATTGCCTTTCAACACAATTTTTTTCTTCCTAAAGACAGACCCCACATGAATATATTAAATTTTAAGTTTTTTTTTTTTTTTTGTTAATTTTTCCTAAATTTTAATGATACCTACAATTATTCAAACAAAACTGGCTTATGTGTGGTGGCAACATACACTGTTTCTAATATATTCATGTTCCCCATGATTAATAAAATGTTGAGGTTGCATTAAATTAATTAATTAATTGACATTATTTACACTGAACATTATAATTATATTTTAATCCTAACATTATTTACGCATACGCTAGTCAATTTATAAATTAAAAATAAAAAGATAAATAAAATATAAATATAAATATTATAATATAAAAGAATTGACAATTTTACTTTTCTATACTTTTCTATCTCTATGACTACCAAATTAATGATGAAAAAGGATTAAATATTATGTGAATTAAAATTAAAAAAATAATAATATAATTATGTTAAATTAATGAGATTCATTAGGATAAATTACAATTATTGTCTCTAAAGTTTTACACTTTTTTCGTTTAACTCCCTAAAATTTTAATTTTGTCAATTAAGTCTTTAAAGTATTAAATTCAAATCAATTTAGTCGTGAAGACAATATAAATAAAACATAATCCCAAAGGTTATATAAAATTGTTATAAAACCCGAATTTTAATTTATTGTTAACTTAATTATTCTCCGCACTTGTGTTATAGAATTGATATCAGAGTTTGGTTTCTTAGTTTTGCTATATGAGCATTAGATACATTGAAGAAGTTGAATATGACAATTTAAATAATAGTATTACACTATAAATAATTATTGAACAATATAATATTATAATCAGGCTTTTTAAAGAGCCTGACAAAAATCTTAAAGAAAATCGAATTGAAATTATACATAAAGTTCAACATCTAGTATTGGATGAAAGGTCACCCGTTAGCTCTTGTAAAAGATAATACAAATAATTATTCTTATTTTTATAGGGAAACTCTCCAAGTGAATCTTTTCAATTATTACCACCAAAAATAAAAAAATAAAAAAAATGGATCTAAGTAATTATAGTTTTGAAGAATTATAAACAATGGTGAAAGAAGAAAAAGAATATAAAATAATATCAGAAATAGCCAAAAAATCAGATAAAATGGATAATTGCGTATTACAAGAAATAAATAACAACAGGAAAAAAAAATGACCTATATAAGCAATTAGAATTAATTAATCTGTGAGA